ACGAGCAGGATGTTGTCGTAGAACCTTTTTCATCTCGTGCCAGAAAGTTTCAATAGGTGACAGATCTGGACTGCTAGAAACCCATTTCAAAAGTGGTAAATTATTTTCTTCCACCCATTTTATAGCCTTTTTTGAGGTATGGCACGCTGCACCATCTTGCTGAAACACAAAATCTTGGCCGGATGTCAAACATTCTTCCATCACTGGTAAAAGCGATTCTTCTAAAATTGCCAAATATTTGTTTGTATCCAAATTTCCATCAATAAAATGAAGTTTTCCTACTCCTTTTGATGACATACTGCCCCAGACCATAATGGATGCTGTAAATTTCAGTTTTCTCTTCAGACAGTCAACATGGACTGCTTCATTTTTTTGCGAATAACTCTACTGCGACTGTCACCAACACAAACTTCGAATCGGGCCTCTTCACTCCATTGCATTGCACACCATTGTTGAGGTGTCCATTGTCTATGTTCTTTAGCTCATCTAAGCAGATTTTTCTTTTGCAGTGGAGTTAATAGTGGCTTTTCTTTGACCTATAAACAAGTTGTGCAACTTTTGGGTTTTTACTTCACTTTTTTTTATAAGAAAACTTACCTTGCAAGTGCTAAATCCCAGTTTGTGGGTCTCTCTATGAGTTGTGGACCTCGAAATTCTCCTTCCAACAGCGTCGCTCCACAGAGCACTTAATTGTAAATAATTGGCACGCCTGTTTTTCACGATTATTCTTCTTAATGCTCTTCGGTCGGCATTTGTGATATTACTTTTTTTCACATACCGTGCCTTAATATTAAATGAACCAGTTACGTTATATCTTCTAACAATATTTCTCACACTGTACCGCGATAAGTCTAACAGAATTTTCTCACTAATAACCTTTCCTCTACCCATTTTGAAAACCTTACCTATCCAAAACTATTTTAAACGTATTCTGATAGCTGTGATTAATAAAAACAATTGTCATGGCTTTTATTTTTCACAGCCACCTATGCGTTATAGACTTATTTTGCATTGAAACGAAAATAGATTGATATGCTGTAATTGCAACATGTGTTATTTTTATGCTGCAAATTTGATTAGGGAGCGATAAAGTTGGTGTTTTCTACTATATATTATCAAAATATTCATTGTTAATATTTTAAACCTATAACACCCTGCTACATTTTTATTATTTGTGTTTGATAAGAAAAAAACTAAGATTTCAATAGTTGGGTCAACTGAAGTGGGAAGGAGCTCGTATAAGAAAGTGTGATTTTTAGTTTTGTCTTAGAAAATTTCTAGTCAATGTATGAATCTTCCACATTTATACATGTTGCTGTCACTGTGACAGATTGCTTGTCATGGACGTTTAAGTTTACCTTTTTTGGTCTTGTCTGGAGATTCAACTACACAGTCGATAGTCAATCTTAAATTAATGGCAGTATTTTCAGAAAATGTACGAATCTTCCACATGTATGCATGTTGCTGTCACTGTGTAAGCTTGCTTGTCATGGACGTTTAAGTTTACCTTTTCTGGTCTTGTCTGGAGATTCAACTAGATAGTCGACATTCAATATTAAATTAATGGCAGTATTTTCAGAAAATGTACGAATCTTCCACATTTATGGATGTTGCTGTCACTGTGACAGCTAGCTTGTCATGGACGTTTACGTTTACCTTTTTTACTCTTGTCTGGAGATTGAACTACACAGTCGATAGTCAATATTAAATTTATGGCAGTATTTTCAGAAAATGAACGAGTAGGCTTAGGATGCTCAGTTTGCAATTTTCCTTAGGGAAGTGAAGCTCCCCACATGATACAGTTACACAAGCTGTTTACAAGGTCTGATCCAGCATTTGTGTGGGGGGGGGGGTCACAAAATTCATGTTCAGAAAGGTATTCGTCTCGGGGTGGGGGTAGCATTTACCTACGCATGTACTCATGTTTATGTGGTGACAGATAAATAGAGAGAGATTTCAGCACTCTTACGGTTAGGTAATGATGATGATTACTCCTTTCAGTCAAATGAATCCACTTTTCTCTGATTTTGTATGTAAAAAAGTATTTTTTCAAATCAAAATTGCTCAAAGCGTTGAAGGTTCGCGCGAAGTTTCAATTAACTACCTTAATCACAGAACACACGAGGCTCAATTTCCAATAATACAGTAACGGACACGCAGGGCTACCAAACGCAGAATCACTATTTTATTTATATTTGCGTCAAGCTGCACGTACCTACAGGCACCCAGACTTATGCAACCCTCTCATTTCCACGCCGTCAGCGCTTACAAATTGATCAGAGCTACATATTTGCAGAAAGTCTGTATTTCATTAAATTTATCAAAGCCATAAATATTGGTGGTCAAACTAGATTCGTCCAGGGGATCCGCGCTTGGCTGTTTTCTTAACCACCAAAAACCGTAAAGTACTGTAGCAAGGTTTATGTCTGGAAAAGCAGCTAAATAGTTAAGAAGAATCGACTTCGTATGCTCCAACCAAAAACTTCATGCTCCGATTCTATTTTTTGCAGATGTTAATTTAGATCCTGCAAATTTCATACAGGCTACTAAGCTTACCTTGGAGCACACTAAGATCCGTATCGTCAATCGTCCCTACAATTGTAGAACGCCTTTATGGTCTCCTTGGTTTTCAATGTTCTACTGGTCCATGTTAGCGCTATATTTTGAGGTTATGTCACAAATACCTATTTCCATCCAATTAATTATGCTTTTGATTTATATCATCTGTTATATAGCCTGATTTTTCCTACAATTCAAGAAGAAAACATAGCCTGACAATAGAGCGCTGACGCTGACACGGAGTCGTAGAAATCTGAAAATACTCCAGCCTTTCTGAAGGAGATGAAATACTATGAAAATCAAGGAGGCCATAAAAGCATCCTACAATTATTGAAGGACGCCTTTATGGCCTCCTTGATTCTCATAGTTCTATATCAGCTCTCTATTTTGAGGTTATGTTACAAATATTTATTTGCATCAAATTGTTCACGCCTTTCCTTTATATCATCCTTTATCTAAGCCTGAAATTTCCTACAATTCAAAGAAAAGATCTAGATCTAGTCCGACCCTGCCGGTGCAATGCTCCCTTAGAAAAATGCGTGTGTATGTGCGTATAGACCGGTCTAAGTCGGGCCGTAAATCGCCTTTTTCTCCTCTATTTGGAGAAGTTAATAGTGGAAATATTAAACGAGTAAACCGACGGAGACTGTCCGACGGTGTCCCGCTCCTTACTGCCATCAGGATATATCTTCCTCAGTGAATTGTGACTTACAACTCGCCAATGGAGATGCGCTGCATGGATCCACAGAGAAACGGGTTGAACATAGGCCATTCAAGAAGTTGGAATTGCTTTTGAATGTTGATGATTTTCAGTGAGAATATCAGTCATTCACCGTACTTTCATTTGAGTCAAATGAGATCGGCTGGTAAGGCTTCGTATTCATCTAGTATAATAACCTTAACACCTCGCGCAATTACTATTTGGTGACTTCCTCTACGAACAAAAACGTTTTTGAAAAACTGGAGCCGAGATATGTGTCTGACACTTTACAAGTGATGTCAAGCCTCACGGTGATGACGATTGAACCTTCTACAAATACGCCAACGGAATCTGCTCCTATGGGCTTTCTCCTACGATGTCTTTGAATTTTGGGCCTGCCAAACGAATCCACCATTCTTATACCTCTGTCGCACTCTTTATATTCTGGACTGGACAGTATGAACGCTCCGTTATTCTGGTGTCACAGCAATGGAACAAAGAGATATTCCTTCGCTATGTCAGCCCGTTTAAAAATTGCGCCATGAAAATACAGTGCCTTTCAAAAACACTGCTTTTTTTTAACCAAAATTGGGAATAATGAAATTGAATCTTTTAGCGTGAAAGTGGCTACTCAAAATTCCAAGAAGACGGTTGGGCGTACATTTGGGAACATCTTTTCATATAGAATAGGGAGCTGTGTGATAATTTTTTTGTAACTCCTTATGAGTACTTCATAATCCTAGGATACAAAATTACTATCTTTCAGAATGGTGAACGGGTTGTTAAATTTAAGTATTTTTGTACATTTAGTTGCTTATAACTCACAAACCAGTCACCAAAACGGGATAGTACGAGGATTGTTTCAAAAATAAGATTCATTTTTCTCAGGCACAAGAAATTTTTCATTTGTATTTTTTTGGACGTGAAATCCACTTGCACTCCCGCCTCAAAGAAGTCCGCTTCCAGCCCGTTTAGAAACTCCTTGCAACTCCTAAATATTAAAAGCGGTGCAACGGTTACTAAGAATACACGGACACAAAAACTCTATACAATACAGACCGACAGAAGAGGCTGGATGACCAATTGGCTTGCAGCTAGAAAACCTGCAGCACTGTAATTCTGAACTATGCTAATGAGATCAAAAACATAGAAAAGTATACAGTGTTAGTTTGTGAGTTTTATTCAAATTGACACCTTGCTTAGAACAAAAAAACAGCATTAATACGAGAGAAAATTTGAAAAACACAAGGGTAGACACGACAAATCGTTACACTTAGTAAGAATCTATTCAGCGATTGCTGAGATTACGCGATGTCAAGCTGCTAATAGTTTGACAGCATATGTATTCATGGGAAATATTCTATATGGATTATCATCATGTAGTTTGCCTTATTGATACTGCTCACAGTACTGCCTACTGCAGGATGGATATTTTTAGGTCCTACAGATAATAATATAATAATTGAATTTTCCTCTATCTCGAAATTCTTACGATAACGCCTACTTGACACCTCTGATCTACTATAAATAAACAGCGGAACCCATCAAAATTCTCTTAAAATCATATTAATTTAAAAATCAACCGAACGCATACTTTTGGACGACACTGTAGACGAATATTTGCATCCATTCCATTCCTGTATGAGCAAAAACGCCCGAAAACAAGTAGGCTTTGAATAAGAAAAGTTCGGAAGCAATCGGCACGCGTTCGGCAGCACTTCGGCAGTTTAACCCGGCTGGCGCGTGGCTGTAGACATTAGACAGACAGTGGCCGTTTATTAATTTCTTTAGTTGTTTTGTGGATTTTTGTGGATAAACATCCTGAAAAACTGATACAATCAGCCTAAACGTGAGTGTGTGTGTGTTTTGGACATTCTGGCGACGTAGGAGGCAAGGTTTGGGATGCTTGAGGCTGGAGCCGTTATGATCTGCACATTTGGTACGCTTGTTTTGGAGCATCTATTTTGAGACGTTTTTAATAATATTGCTGATAGTACTCGTTTTATATTTAGAATAAATCTATGAATTTCTTCATGAATTAAGTTCTTGGCCAAATTTCGATAGTATAAAACAGGAATTTGACGTCAAATAAATCCAGGGATTTCTTCAGTTCTATTTTTTTGCCAAGCTGGACGTGAAATTTCATGGCCAACCTTGTCTTCCTTTCCGGCTTTCCGTTATATTCAAAAACATTTCAATTCAAGTATATAACTTTGACAGGTTACAGCATTCAACAGTATAATCAAATCCAAGCGAATAACCAAAATTTCTGTGTTATGTGCCGCGGTTATAATATGGTTCAAGATGACACACGGGTTGATGACGTCAGTTACACGAATCGCTTGAACGCGTTGGTTTTAACCGCGGTTTTGTTGCAAGTTGTTTATTTTAGAAAAGCGCGTATATAATCTCTGATTATTTTTATTATCACTTAATAATCGGTTCTTTTTCGTCTACAACTGTATATGGAAAACTTAAATAAGAAACCTTTCATAATATTCATGGGAGAAATGTTTTTTCAGATTTTTTTTTAATGATGGAATCATGGCTTTGTAGCTATGATAACTTTCAATTCTCTAAATTTTTCCGCATGTCAAATAAAACATTTATTGATTCAGCAGAAATGATGAAAAAATAAATTAGCTAAACCGTATACAGGTGGATATCATCTAGTGAGTTTATATGGCCATATTTTAATATTCTTGTGGTATATGGCTACACAGGATACTTTGTTAATCATAGGAACTACATTTAAAGTGTCCCCAACAACCGTAATGAGTATAACTAATAAGATGCTCCACTTTATGGTAAAACTGAAGTCAGCCTGTATCATTTTTCTCAAAAATGAAGCTGAAGTACAATAACAATATCCAATAACCGGCAAAATTCTAACTTGTCACATTTCAAATAATAACCAGAAATATAAAACTACTCTTGAGTTGGGTAAATACCACAATTTTGCGGTGATAACTATGACATATAACAGCTGATTCGTGACGTCACGGATCTTATAACCAAACTGATAACTACACTCGCTTGAACGGATTGGTAAATACCAACCCAAAATGGTAAATACCATTTCCATTTGGTTATCCGCTTGAATTTGATATATGATTTTTGTTTATGAGATTCGGCGGAAGAAAGAAAACCACAATATGAAACCTCGAAATGTTTCTAGCAAGAATTTATCTAACTGGCAGCACTTCCTATCAGATAATCCATGAATTTGTCAATTTCCATCTATCTGAACTAATTTCTGCAAAAATTGTTGATGTTAAATGGGTTTTGTCCAGAATTAATCTTTTGTAATCTTCATAGAGAAAGCAGACACCCTTCTGAGCTGACCTATATCTAGGATGCCTTGAATTTTTTCATTTCAAATGACTGAGTATAGGTAGATACATAGGTGTTTTTTTATATCTACTGCATCATGATTATCAATATTATCTCGAATTATCAGTTTACAGCTGATCGATTTATCGCTTTCTCCACATTTTTGTATGTCTCTCATCCATTTTAGGACTTCATCAGCGTCTTCTAAGAAATATTTAAGAGCAATAGAACAATAGATTCATTGTATTTGTAGGGAATGTATTCAAGTATTCACTGGACATATTAGCCAAGAAAAATCTATTTCGTGTAGCATTTATTTTGACGAGCATAATATGTACATCATATTTTCAGGCTTCAGACACAAGTTGCTTTTTGACTCATTCTTTGTTAATCTACAGGTAGAATACCATAAGTATAGGCCAATACCGCTTTACGCGATCCAATAAATTGAACAATTTTTAACCATGACGAAGTTGAACCGTCTAAACATAAAAATTGATCTTAATTTCTTCACAACAATAAATTCATGAATAAATTGCCAGATTAGAGCTTTTCTTAATTGTCCATCAATTGTTTAGGGAGTACAAGTAACTTTTGTTTTTCCTAGATACCAACGTTATTTGACGCGTTCACATTTTATGATTTGAGATTATATTTTATAAACCTTACAGTTTAACTTGGCGCTTTGGTTTTAATTTAGGATTTGATATTTCATTATACATACGTAGATTTTGTTCCTTGATGTTTGATTTGAACATGTAATTTCACTACTTGTTACATACCTTGCAAAGCTGCTATAAAATAATTAACAAGAAGTTCGCCGACCAGTCATGCTTGCTTCCCAAATATTTTGGATTGCTTGAACATACTAATTGAAGCAAGAATAACGTCTAGTAACTACTGACAACTAAAATAGCAAAATCTACATATCGTCTATTTTTGTTCTAGGTACTTGGATGTAGCCTGTGCTGGGTGAGTTTTTGGGTGTACTGGTGTAGGGTGTAGTATTTTCTACTGTGACTTTGATATTTTCTTGAATTTACATAAATAGGGATGAGATCTTACTACTTAGGATTGCAAAAATTGCATTTCCGTTTAAGAAGTAAAATAGACCTAATAGTATTTTGGCGAATGTGTCATTTTTTTTGGTTTTCAAAGCATCCGCGATAATTATGATGTGCCCCCCCCCCCATAAAGAAAGAGACATGTATACAAAATACAAGCAACACGACTGCGGCACCAGAAAAGAATGAAGAATCGATTGTGCTATCAGGAAGCTAAGGACTATTCAAACCAAACTCAATCAAGCTGTTTTGAATTCAAGAAATTAAATTTTTATATACCCGGTGTCAGTCGCACTGCCCAGACATATCGATACGTATTTGCCAAAGTAACGTAAGTCACCAAAAACGATTTCGGAGAAAAAACGTGTTTTTAATTTAACCTAGTTAAACTTTTTTAATTTGTGCAAAATTTACCAGGGTGTTTCTCTGAGGTCTATATTTAATTAAGAAAAATGATTTTTGAAGTTTTTCTATAGTTGTGGTGGTTAATTGATACCTACGTTACTTTACGGGTTCAGAAATCTCGAAGTCTTGATCAAAAATGTAACGTAAGTACACAGATACTTAAAGTGTTTTGGAAATGATTAAAAACTATCGTTTATTATTAAAAAAAGAAAAACACAAAATAACGTTACAAAAGAAAATATGAAATTCTGACTAGTAAAAATATATATTTTTTTAAAGTTTCTGCTAACTCATCTGGAAGAGAAGACTTACATTTTAATTTAAAGAATTCATCGTGAAACCTGGCAGGTATGACATTGTTTTTGCAAAGTTTTTCCAAATCCTTTTTCTTCATTTCGGATATTGGAAGCAGTTGTTTATAAATTTTTTCATGTTCAGAAACTGCGTTTTCTTGCCGGTTTCGACTTCCTTATACAGGGTGTCACTAAATTAGTATCCAAAACTTCAACCACAAACAGAACAATAAATTTGCGATAAACATGGGTCCGGAAATGTTTCATTTCCGAGATACATTGTGTTGAAAATACGTTAAAAAATCAGTTTTTTTCTTATAATTCAGACAAAATGTTTTCGAAAATTTTTAAACTTTGTCGTTTCTCTTATTTCGATTGATCTATTTCGATTACGTCTTCATTTAAAATATTTTCGGAATTATCTAGATCAAAAATATTGTGACTTGAAATAATGGATATCGGCATAGACCCGATTTCTTCCTCAGAATAAACATTATTCGATTAATCATTTTGGCTAAGAGCCGCCAAAATCCTTTTTGTTCGTGAACTGACCATAGACATAATCTGAAAGTAATTGAGCATTTATGTTTACAATGTTTCATAGCTTCTATAAAAATTAGAATAGAAACAAATACAACAGTCTTTCTCTAACTTCAACCGATTCATTCCTGTAAATTTCTCACAGGCTTCGAGGTTATGGCAGAATAACTTCTAATAAATAAACCAAATTAAATATGAAATGCGAGTTTTATAGGTAGGTACATAATATTAGTTAAGGTTTTAATATTTTTAAATTCTAACTACAAAAAAACGTTCTTTTTAGCTTCAACCGATTCATTCCTGCAAATTTCTCACAGGCTTTGATGTTTTCGCACAATCGTTTGTAATAAATGAACGAAATTATATATGAAATGGAATTTTATAGGTATGTACCTACATAATATTAGTTAAGATTGTTACTATCTTTGAATTCTAACTATAAAAAATGTCGTTATTATTTACTTACCTAAAATCAATAATTACTAGTCGATGGTAGCACGAACCTAACACTGTCGTAAGCCAAACACTGACTGCGGAAATCTGACGTAAGTCGCAGAAACCGACCGGGACTTACGTTATTATGGCGGTAAAAAACGTTAGCTTGCATTACTATGATGGAAATAGTGTTAAAGTTACGTTTCCTTTACGGATATGATTTAAAAAATTCTGGACATACGTGTTCAAAAAAAGTTAAAAACAAAGGTTTAAAGTAAAATCTAGGCTTCCTACACTTTGGCAGTACCTTCTCAACAGTAAAAGCCTTACGTTAATGGAAAAACATGATTTTCACCAAAAATGTCACTTACGTTACTTTGGCAAAAATGCATCGATATCTAGCGACACCTCAAATGTTAAAGGCCATCAAGCTATTCGAGCTGTGGACCGTAGAGTAGGAACTTCAGAGTTGAAATCTTCGATTGAAATCCGCCATTTTGAATTTATAAAACTTTAGTATATTTATATACTTGCGCCCATGTGAGGTTGTATTACATGTGATGTAATATTTTATTGCCGATGGTTTATTGGTTTCTTGTTTCCTTATTGCCAAGATGTAGGCTTCCCTATTAGACATCATTTGTTACAAAGACGCATGCTTTCTAAATATACCTTTGCCTTAAGATAAGGTCTTTTGGACCTCGACGCTACCCGATTTGCCCAAGGAACGTGTTTTGCTTGTATTTTTCTTATAGAAATTTTAAATTTTCTGCATACGAAACTTTCAGTTTCGTTGAAAATTCTGTCGTTAATTTGGAGCGCTGATTTTTCATATGACCTTGAATATCAAAAAATTCTTGTATGGGTTAATATAAGGTATTTGGAGTTTCAATGTTCCGCCAAAAAATTTCAAGCAATTCGACAAATTGTGGAAATATATCCAAATAATGTAAAATAACATGCCTTATTTAGAACATATGAAAAAATCCAGGTAACTATTAATCTCAACGCCTAAATCTCTCTTGAAGGTTAACAGAATTTATACTCTCCCGACATCCACTACAAACATACAATATACATAATACAAATCTCTGTCTTATATGTAACTGGTTTAATAATATACGAATAATCTTTGTATTGCTATTATAAGAGAAGACACTAAAAATAAATATAGTTGTTTAAACAAAACACGTTTTGTGACAATTCAGCGATTTGACCTAGCAAATCCAAAACCGATAGTTTGGCCACATATTTTTGCTTGGTACATACAAAAGCTGTCAATTCAAAATATGTGGACCTGTCAAATATGTATCACATATTATACAGGGTGACTTCGAAGTTGAGTCATTTATTTTAACAGTGTGTAGATCTGATCAAGAGATATGTTCCTATAACATTTTTCTGGTAAAATTAAAGTAACAAAGTTATAGCCCTTTAGAAGTTTGAGTACCGCCCTGTCTCAATAATAATATTATGTGCTCGTGTTTGGCAACAAGCCCAGCTCTGCGTCGAGCAAAACGGAAATCATTTGGAACAGTTTTTGTGACATGCTTTTGGGCGCTCAGGTCCGCACTGAAATACTTGTCGGGAGGATACTTTATAAAACAAGGTAACATTTTCTTTACTTTTTTTTTATTTTTACACACATATTTTGGTTTATCCTTCTTCTACAATTATTATTTGAAAATTAATGACTCAACTGCAAAGTCCTGTATAGACTTGTAAAATAATTAATATGAAGACACAGCATAAAATAAATACCGTGTGGCCGAAACGCCAGTAAAAGGAATTTATACAGATCAGGTTTCATTTGACCAGAAAATCATGGAGTTCTAAAGCTGCCTTGCCCAGTTTAATCTACGCACGGTGTCTCATTTCAGTCTCCCCACCTAAACGTTTCGAAAACTGAATTCTAGAAAAAAGTTTTGAACAAAAGTAGTGGGATTTTGAGGCGACAAAATGATAGTGACCTTGAAAATGACATTGACACTTTCAAGGACAATTCAGTGTCAAGTGAGTATTCGCAAATGAAATCCCATTTTTTCACATCGGAATTGAAAATAGGAGCAAATTTCACGGATAAACATCACATTGGACATAATCTTGGCCATTGCCTTCAGGGCTATTGGAAGGACAACCTAAAACAAAAAAAAATTGCACGCTTGTGAAGTTTGTGAGATACCCTAAGGTGAGCTTGATCTTGACCATTACCCCAACCATGACCTTGGCCAACACATTGATCTTGACCTAGATCACGATCTTGATCATGACCTTGACAATAATGTTGAACATTACCTTGTCAATGACCTTGACAATCACTTTCAAGGTCAAGTCAACATTTTAAAGGAAACCTCTTATTTTTATATTGGAAATATAGAAAGCAGGAAATTTTACGTCCCAATGTGACCTTAACTCCAAATAAACTTTAAGCTCGACACGACCTTGACTTTGAAGTCCAGGTCACATTCGGATGTAAAGTTCCTGCTTTCTCCATTTAAAGTATAAAATTGAGAGGTTAATTTTAAAAAATTTGACTTGACCATGACCAAGGTCAATGTCAACTTAAAGTCACCTTTGTGTTATCCCGCAAACCTCACAACTGAGCTGTTGAACATACTTGCTAAAGAAAATTGTTGTTGATGTCTTAATTTGACCTAGAAATGGCCTTATGCGGTGGCCAATATCATGACCAAGGCGATATTTATACGTAAAGTTTTGCCGTCTTTTCAATTCAGGTGTGAAAAGGGAGAGGTTTATTCACTTGGCCTTAGTCAAGGTCATTGTGAATCCCAACAACTTTCTTATGCAGCTTTTTGTATAATGTGCAGTTTTCCAAATACTTAGGTGGGGAGGTTGAAATGCGACACCGTGTATAGCGATCACAGAAAGAGCACCGCTTTGCTATGGATATCATACGCCATCTGCCCTGATGTGTCTTGCAGTACGGCGGCACTCCCTTGAGAGTCAGCTCGTATCAGATACATAGACTCGATGATGCGTTCATGGCACTGGTAGTACCGAGTACCAGCTAGTGAGCATTCAGCCGACAAATTATAAATTTGTGTGATGGCTCGAACGCAATACAAATTATTGTGAATAATGATGTGAGTGTAGAGCGGAGGCACGCTGGAGCGACGGTACGTCCAGCAGCGCCGAGTGTGTGGTCTCACACCGCCGTCGCGTCGCGTTGGATCCGTCTACGCCAAGTAATTCAAATAGTACAGGAATTGGAGAATTAGTTTTTAACACGTTTTTATTAGCTTGTCATGTATGCATGTATGTACGAGTATGTATGTATGTAAGAAGTCTGATTAACTTGAAAATTATATCAGGGGTACAGGACCAATTACAGTACAGTAATCTTAGAAAAAATTGAATTCGCAAATTTGTTAAATAATGAAAAAAATCGGAAACTTGGAAAATAATTTGAAAACGAACATTTTGAAAAATTTTGAAAAATGAAATTTCGAAAAATTATCGAAAATTTTGAAATTTGAAAATAATTGAAAATTTTTAAAGCATTTGTAAATTAGGAAAGACATTTGGATTTGAAAATTGGAAAATTTTGGAAAATTATAAGTACCTTTATTGTCGTTTTGATGGTTTGTGAGTCATTCAATCATATATATTCTGGCTCTATGCCCGATTGCATAGGCGGCTATACAATAACTTTAAATTTTTGGCCAAATTAATGAAACTAAATATGATAAGCCATTTATATAGAGTCATGGACAAACGTATAGACAAATTAATACTGTGCTGTATTTCATTTTTATTTTGTTTTATTAATACACCAACCTATATACATAATTCTTTATATCATAATACTCACTTATACATAAATAAATTCATTAGACTCCATTCATTAAAAAATTAATTGTAAAAACTGGAACTATGAAGGACAAAAATATAAAGACAAAGCAAAACCATTATAGAAAAAAGAAGCAAAGTTCATTGAATTATAGAAAACCAACCATGTTTGTGTTAATATTTTGTAGCATAACTATTATTATCAATCACCGCCTGGCATCGTCTCGGCATAGATTGTAGAAGTTTCTTGATATAAGACTCATCAATCTGTCTCCACCTTTGCTCTAAGAGATGTTTTCTAATTATTTTATGCGAAAAATTTGTATGCGAACTTTTCTAGTAAACTGAAGCTTTTCAGATGAACGAAGATTTTTTTAACAAAAATCGAACTATTTTGAAGCTTACTGCATGAGATAACGTCAATAATGTACATTTGTGTATCAACTTTAGTATTTTAGAATATTTTTCTTGTAAAACAAAAAAAAAAATCAAATAAAACACCCAATTTTCAAGTTTTATGACTTGGTTAACGTATAAAGGACGTTAATTTTATAAAATCTTAAAAATTAGAATAATTCGAAAACGGCTAATTTTCGGACAGTAGTTCCTATAGTAAAATCGACTCAGATTGGCTTGTACTATCTCCCCCCACCGGCTCCGCATCTATTTTCCCGTCACCCTGTATACACATACCGAAAACGATGTTTTTGTATCAAGTACAAAGATCTGAGTTTTAACTGAAATAGTTGGAACGCACGTAAAGATTACTTGCAGATATTTGAAGTATCCGGTTTCAAAAACAAAAATAAATACTGATTTGCCCTGCATATCTTTTTCACTGGGCTTCTAACAGCCAAGAGTTCAGTTGAATACATGGTTGAAACTGAAATGAATGCATATAAAGATGGTAACCAAATATGAAAAAAAAGGAATCCTGAAAACATTGATTGTCCCATAAAAAATCGTCAATGCCAGCGCTGCGTCATTTCTCGTGTTCATTTATTGTCACTGATACTAATAATACGAAGTATAAATCAATTTCATTTGTGAATCGCTGACGCGAGTCGAACTAAGATAAGCAGTACCGAGCCAGTCGGGTTATTTTAACTACCATGGTGTTTGAGTTGCACAAAATATTATTTATAAGATACCATTGTGACTGTACTATAAAATATCAGAAGTACAAACGGCAGCCGGCGCACTTCAAACCAAATCACACCGAGTTATTATCCACGTATAGCAGCTTGATTATCTTCTAACTGAAGAATATATGACACGACGGTAATATAAGAGCGCTTCTATCTCTAATTTGAACTCATAGGCATCTCGGTGCATTGTATCATGCTCATTGTCCCCGGGCGC